GATCCAAAAGTTTGTATCAAGATCCATACTTTTGTATTTGTTTTCATGGAATCTTCATGTATGGGTACCTAGGTCCATGTTTTTGAACTCATATCATGAAATCTCAGATTTTGAATAAAGTTATGATTTTAGCATTTATGTTCTTCATGTTCATATTCTTCATGTTCTTCAAAAGGAAACCCAGATTTTCCAGACTTTATTTCCCTGAATGTGGTCACTAGGACCATACCTCGGCCAACACCTGGTTGGTACCCAGCATGTTTTCCCGAGATGAAAAATAGTGTTTTAACTCCCAGCACATGTTTTGCTTTGTCTTGACTTAGTTTTGAAAGAAATGCGGGGATCATTTACACCCAAGTAAAGCTTGTTTTAGGGATGCATTGCATAGCCATCTTTTGAGCATTCCTTCTTGTCTTCTTGAAATACAATCAGTGGACCTTGCCATGTGTTTGTAGGTCTTGGATTCTTGCCTTAATCCCTACACCCGAAGAGCTATGTGAGTGGTATTTTTAATAAAGCTATGTTCTAATGTTTTGATAAAAGCTTTGCTTGTTTCGTTTTGGAAAAGTGTTTGTTCAAGTTTGAATGATTATTCCTAGTTTTGTATCATGTATTATCTTGTTTTGATGACATTCTTGGAAAGTCCTTAGTGGTTGGGGACTATAATGCAACTAGTACCCTTGTTTGAGATATCTCCCTTGCCACCGACAGTCTTGTACGGGTGGGTTTGTCTAATCGATTCCGGGTCGATTATTCCCTTGTTTTGTATGGAATGTCATCCCTTGTATTATATTGATGCTAGTAAGCATCCCTTGAAGCTTTGAAAAACTTGATAGATGAACTTGGTTCATCCCTTGATTTTGTACAAGATACGCTATGCATTGTTTTGATAAAGATTTTGAATATCATTCATTCAAACCTTTATTACTAATATCATTCACTGAGTATCCAAGCCCACCATCTCCTTATATATATGTAGGTGACGAGCAAGAAGGCGGTGACGCCTAGATGTATTTTGCAAGTTGTGTTCAGATTCATATTTTGCTAGCATCTTAAAGATTATGCTTCTTAGCTTTGTATTTCATGACTTTTGAATATGTCGGCTTGAGAATCCTTTTGATCAAGATGTAACATGTACTTATTTTATTTGTATCCAAGTTGTACGTCATTTCATTTGACTTATGCACAGCTCTTATGGACTAGTTAGATTTAAATTTATTGCTTCTGCACATGTAAGCCCCATATGTATACTCTGATCGTGTGTGACTTTGCAAGTTGGCCTTTGGTAATCTCGGATTACTAGCCATCATGGCACCATTCTACTAGGGGCGGAATAGGGTCATGACATGAAATGGATGCAGATTGTGGAATGATTGATAATATATGTATTGTTCAGTTTATATACATACTACAAGTTGCACGGAATGCATATAGGTTGTGGACAAATTAGAATTTTGAGAAAAAATATAAAATCATGTTTTTGGAGACTAAACAATTCGTAATAAAAAAGGAAGTACATATTTTAGAGACCAAATAGTTAGTAGCTAAAAAAAGAAAATGAAAAAAGAATTTTGGCGACTAAAAGTTTAGTAGCCAAAAAAGAATCAGACTTTAGGCAACTAAAATGTTTAGTAGCTAAAAAAAATAAGATGCACAACAAAAATAATTTGGCGACTAAAAGTTTAGTAGCCAAAAAACAATCAGACTTTAGGCAATTAAAATATTTAGTAGCTAAATAAATAAGATGAAACAAAAAAATTTGGCGACTAAAAGTTTAGAAGCGAAAAAAGTCATACTTTAGGTGACTAAAAGTTTAGTAGCCAAAAAAAAATCAAACTTTAGTCAACTAAAATATTTAGTAGCTAAAAAAATATAAGATAAAGAACAAAACATTTTTGGCGACTACAAGTTTAGTAGCCAAAAACAAAATAGACTTTACGCGACTAAAAAATTTAGTCGCTAAAAAAAAGTAGGATGAACAAAAAAAATATTTGGTGACTAAAACTTTAGTCATTATAAATAATTGAAGTTTTTCACAACAACAAGTTTTATTCGTTGAAAACGTGATATTTAATTTTATTTCAATCCTTTTGGTGACTAAAAAATCAGTCGGCAATTTAGTACTTTTGGTGACCAAAAATTTTAATCGTAAAAAACCTCCGGCGACTAAAACTTGACTTTTGGCGACTAAAAATTTAGTCGCCAAAACTGTTGTAGTGAACGAGATATTCACAACAGTTTAACAAATGAAATAGAGATTAAGGTTGGGAGAAATCAAGCCCAAAAAATAAATGAAAACCTACATTCATCTCTTTGTAGATAAGGGTAAATGAATACCCAAATCCATGCTATCATTAGAGAGAGTAGATTGTCACCATTTCTTAGTGGAAGCTTTGCTTTGAAATTAAGAGATTCATCAAAGGTGATTGAAGACTATTCTTCCTCTCATGGAATAAGGATGTTACATCCCTTTCTATGCTCAACTTGGATTAAGAAGAGAGTTTTCAACACCTTTGACCCAAAATCTCTTACTTTACTTCCAAGAAAATAACAAATCAATAGAAATCAACAACTTTCTCAACACCAAACCTCAAGAATCATCCAACTAGTTCCATGCAACAACCGCAAGTACTCATTAGAATTGAGTATGGATTGAAACACGTGAACCAACACGCTTGGATGATGAGAAAGGTGATGAGAAAGTGAATAAAAGGAAAGAAGTTACACTACATAATCAAACTGGTGGATGGGTGGCTACTTTCTAACTCTCAACCACATCCACAAGGTCCATTTTACATATCTATATACAACAAGAAGTGCAAGAAAGTAAGAAATACAATCAACTCAATGGATGGGTGGCTACATCCTATTCCTAACCACATCCATGATGACCCATTATGTGATTATAGCACAAAACAATAAGATACAAAGCTTGAAAGGAAGAAAGAGAGAGATAAATTGATGAAAAGGCAAAACTTCACCTCTTAAAGAGAGGATTAAGTTTCTTGGTTATCAAACTCCTTCGTAGCACCCTCAATATCCTTTAATATGGCTTAGAATCCTCAGCTAGGTACCTCGATCCAAGGTTTGATAGTGTTTAGATGGAGTAAGCAAAGAGGTGAGAGGTTGAAGATGAAATGGGGAATGGGAGTGTTTTGTTCTCAAACAAACCTTTTCGTTCTTTCAAAAATTTTGTAACCCTAAGAAATGAGGTTGGGACATCCTTATATAGATTTTTGGGATGAAAATATCTTAGATATTTGTGAAAAATTTGCAGAAAAGCCAAAATTCCCGAAAATGCTCTATACTCGAACAATTCAACCGGTCGTACCATTATTCATCCTACCAACCACATTTTACATCTGGCCATAAGTATTTATATGGCCAATGAGAAAAATGTACCACTGGATCAATAGTGTAAAGCTAGCATAATTTGACAAGAAAAATAGGTATTTCTTTAGAGTTTCATTCTTCCATTCACTGTCATTCTGTCATTTGCTTAGTCCACTTAAAAAGACAACATTTGAAGTTTCAAAACGCGAGCCTCAGAACATTGTATAAATGTTTGGAACCACACAACCCAAAACACTTAGAAAAAGTGGTTTTAAGAATGTCAAAAAAGGTTTTGGCCAAAACAGGTATTGGTTGGGATAGTTGGGATTAAAGTTTGAATCTTGGTTTTCCTGTTGAGGGATTCAAAAGACTGCACATTGCAGCTTTTATCATAGGGCGTTCGAAATAAAGCGACCAAGTCTTAAGGCCAGTCAAAATGGGGTGTTTACAACACCCGTAATATTACATCAAAATATTCTATGTACACATCTTTTAAAAATAAAAAAATAACTCTCAATACACATTTTTGAGTAAAAGGGGAAAAAAAAACTAAACCCTAGTTTCTCCATTGTTTGTCACTTTTTCCATTGTTTCTCCCTTTGTTTGCTACACACTTCATACTCCTCTATTGCTTGCAAAGCAATACTATCATAGCAACTCTGATATTGCTTTACTCTCTAGGTTTATACTTCATTATGCATATCGTTTTCTCATTAGAATTCACAATTATTCTTGATTTTGTTATGGAAGAGTTGCAAACCAATGGAAGTTCAAATCCAGATAAAAATATGCCTGGTGATAGCAAAAGCAGTGATGAAAACATTAGCTTCTTTGTGCACAAATTTTTTTTTCATCTGCGATTTTTATTTGGCAAACCAGTGCCAAAATATTTTACTTCTTTCGGGGTATCAACTTCCAAAAAAACTAATTATATTTAAAAATCAACTGCCGAATATGTTTATTTTGTTCGATAATAAACTTTTGATATTATTAAATTTATTAAGTTTTTAACAACCGAAATTATATATTTAATTCGACTTTTAAGTGCCAAAATTATGTGTTAGATTCGACTCTGAAGTGCAGAATTTTTTTTCCTTTTCAAATTGCATGCAATGAAAAAATTGAGGTTCAATATGATATTATGGTCGATTGTATTAGCCATTTTATAGCCAAACAGGTAATATTTAACAATAATTTTGAAACTTAATAATTTTTATTAGTTAGTTTGTTCTTATGAAAGTTGTGTGACATTATATACAGATTTTCGACAATAAGGACGAATTGCTTACTTGGTTACATGATATTGGAAGGTCCAATGGCTTTGTTATTATTATAAAGACGTCGAACTATGGTGGCGGCCATAAGAGACTAAGAATTTATCTTGATTGTGAGAGGAGTGCAAGTATAGATCACATAACAAGTTGAAAGATGGCTTGAACGACTTGTTGAGACAAACTGGTATGAAAAAGTGCGAATGTCCATTTGATTTAAGGGCATACAAGTTGAAAACAAATGATGAATGGCTATTGAATGTTGTTTGTGGGCTACATAATCATCCATCTGTAAAGTATTTTCAAAGACATTCATATGCAGGGAGATTGTCATCTAATGAGAAGTCATTATTAGTGGGTATGTCAAACAGTCTAGTAAGACCAAAATAGATACTAATGACATTCAAACAGAGGGATGCCCTTGATATGAGCACAATGAAAACTGTTTACAATGTACGACATCAATATAGGGTTCTACAGAAAGCTGGTAGATCCCAGATGCAACAACTGCTGAGTGAATTAGCGAAGCATAAGTGCATTGAGTGTCATCAATGTGAGAAAAGCACTATGATTGTCACAGACTTATTTTGGGCACATCCAATGAGCTTGGATTTGCTTCGTACATTCCCTCATGTGTTGATTATGAACTGTACATATAAGACGAATAGATATCATCTTCCTCTTCTTAAAATTGTGGGAGTGACATCAACTCACATGACATTCTCCGTGGTTTCCACATACTTGCAAATTGAGCCGGTTGATAACTATGCATGGGTGTTACAAATATTGCGTGATCTGATGGACAACAATATTTTACCTAAAGTCATTATCACAGACAGAGAGCTTGCCTTGATGAATGCCATTGACAACGCCTTTCCGAATGCTCGACATTTGTTATGTCATTGGCATATTAACAAGAATGTTTTCGCAAAATACAAGAAAATGTTTGAAACAAAAAAAATGGAAAAAGTTTAATACTACATGGACCTATTTAGTATTATCATCAACTCAAGAGGAATACAATGATCACCTTGCTATATCGCATAGGATTTCAATAACTGTTCTAAGGTAGTCAAGTATATTACTCTAAGTTGGTTGAATCCATATAAAGAAAAATTCATTGCGGTGCATACAGACATGTGTATGCTTTGGCAATGTTACAACCAATCGATAATATATATCTACATATATATTTTCATTTTCTTAGAAGTCCTATTGTTGTTTTTAATTATTATACTTGATTATTTTTTCTTTGCATCCATATGAATAGGGTTGAGAGTGCTCATACTAAATTGAAAAGGCAATTACGTTCAAGTCTAACGACATTTGAGATATCATTTGAAAACAATACATTGTCTACTTGAGTTACAACACATTCAAGTAAAAGTCATTCAAGAAGAGTTTGACTGTTGTACAACATTAATTCAAACCTTCTCAATTCAAAGAGTTTTGGGGTAATGTGTCTATTTGTGCATTGGAGTACGTGTTGACAGAGAGTAAGACAGTAAATTCAATTGAAATTGATGTTGCAACATATGGGTGTGTTCTTAGCCGCACGCATGATTTACCTTGTGCTCATGAGATTGCAGATTACATAAGACAAGGTCATCCTATTCCATTCAGTAGCATACATGTACACTAGACGCGACTTAATATATGTGTGCACAATTCGATGGTTGACAAATTGGTATTGACTTGTATCCCATAACTTGAGTTGGTTTTGAAGTAGTTCAATGAGTTTGATATTGTCACACAATTGGATATGTAAAAAAAGTTTAGGGAAATTGCAAACCCAGTGAGCACTTTCCTTATTGAGCCTGATGTAAAGCCTAATTCATGTCAATGACATAAGAAAGTTAATATATCTGTTGTCGTGACCCATGTGCATTTAAGTTGGTTAAAGAAGGACATGATTGCAAGAGCACATTATGTTCAAGCCAATCAAAGAAAAAGAGAGCTTCGAAAGTGTACAAGAAGAAACAAAATATGAAGGCAAAGACATACTATATTAGAACAAGTTTGCCAAGTGCATATGCTGGTGACTTCCTGCCTATGTTAAAACCATTCATAAAGTTTATAAAGGATGTAGTGGTCATGGGAATTGTGGTTTTAGAGCTATTGTGGGTTTACTTGGTCTTGGAGAGAATACCTGGGTTCAAGTTAGGTGTAATCTACTACATGAGTTAAATGATCACAAAGATGAACACGTTGTGCTATACGGGTCGCACAAGAGGTTAAGAAGCTGACACACATCCTGTCATACTTTGAAGACAACCTAGGTTTTGATCATTGGATTACTATGCCTGACATGGGCATCTTATTGCATCATTTTATAATGTAGTCTTGTACCACTTGTCATTACAACAATGTCTCACTTTCTTACCTTTAAGATCACCACCAATAACCCCATCTGATCATCATGAGATTACAATTGGATTTGTTAATGGAAATCATTTTGTGCAGGTATAACCTACGAAAATTACATATCATTATAGTTTAATAATTTTGTAATTGAAAAATTGATGGATTTGCTAAATATATGTAGTTTTTGATTATATTAATTTGGTTGAATTGTCATTGGATGTTCATGAAGGTATTTTTGGAGCCTGGTAATCCAGTTCCTCCCATTGTTGTGATTTGGCGAGTTCACCAACACCCTTGTGCATCAGAATGGGAGAATGCATATGTTAATCGCATTCAGAAATTCAAAGACAACATATGACCTAATGTAGCTACTCGAAAGACATTTGATGTAGTTGACATTGATTGATGTATTAGGGAGCAGTTCTAGGATATTTAAAAGGCTTAAGATATAACTTTTTATGCTTTACAGTAGTACGAATTTATGAAATGGATATCATTTTACCATTAGATTTTGTAATGACCATTTTTTGATGGAATGAGTATGAGTTATAGTGGTCTTATTTATGGAGTGGATATCATATTATTTACATTGTCTAAACACAAAATGCAATGAAAATATCACTACTGCTAGCCAACAGGTATTATGTTGTCCAACCAAGTGTAACTACTATTAAAAAGTAATAATATTAACCAACAAGTATCCAAAAAGAAATAATAATATTAAGTAGTAGTTCAATCCACACACATCATCACAAGTACATGTCTCCTTGTATATCATCAAAGAGTAACACTGATAAATACCTACTCTACTAAATCTACCAAAGTATTCAAAAAGTACATAATCCAAAGAGCAATAATAATATTCGTTTCCTTGTACATCCACCAACACCATCACAAAATACAGAATGTTTCAAATATCATGCCTCCTTGATAATACTATCAACTATGTGACCAGTTAGTGTAATACGCTCCAAAATGACCCTAAGTAAAATAGCTAGGTACAGACCTATCCTGAGAAGATATGTTGGGCACAGTTTCACCAATGTGTTGATTGTGAAGAACACGTTTAATAGCATCAATTGCATAGTAAAGCCTACCAGGATGTTGAACAATGTCCTTGTGACAACCTCGTCACGCACTATGCTCTTAATTCTTTAATTGTACATGTGCTTATGTGTTAGGTGTGAATTTGAATGTTAATTATGTGATTAATGTGGCTTTTGACTTCATATCGGTTGATCGTAGAAATATATGTTATGATTCTGTTGTAATCTGAAAATTGAAGACCATAATGGCGACAGAAATCAAAAGTGGTTGGTTTATTGAGATCGGCATAATTTTTAGAGTTAATGAGGATTTTGATTAAAATTTGATTCAGATTAAATTAATTACATTAAACTAATTAGAACTAAGTGCAATTAGTTAATCATAAGCCTTGATTAACACCCTAATCTAGTCCTTAAGTATATATATGTTGTCATTAAGAGCTTGAACCCCTTAAACATAGTTTGAACTCAAAAATTTGAGATAGAGAGTTTTAGTGAGAGAGAACTCAATTTTTAGAGAGAGAAAAGAGCTTGAACTTGAAAATTTTGCTAAGAGGTTTGTATATTGTGAAGTACAAGCTCAAGAAATTACTAAATTGAGCTTAATTGAAGACCGTAGGTAAGCTTTTGAACCTTAATTCATGAAACTAAGTCATTTCATATGTGAATTCAAGAAGATTATGTGTTTAAATGTAAGAATTGACCTTAGAATGAAGAATTAGAGGTTAATTCATACATGCAAGCATAGTTTTGTTGAGTTTCACCATTTTTTAGCATGATTTGGTCGTCCATGTTGAATTTGGAAGATGAATTGTACATGCATGCATGAATTACATGGTTTTGAAAGTGAATTGCATGTTTTTGAAGCATTGGAATCGAATTTGGAATTAAAATCAACATGCATGAAAATTTAGGTTTCATTTTGAAGAAATCTTGAAGTTTTGAGCTTTGATTTTCCAAATTGGCTTTGTATTCATGTTTTTGGAAGAGTTTTAAGTGTTTGAGAAGTTGTTTACAAGCCATGCAAGAGTGTGTTTTTGAAAATGCAAGTTTTGAAGTTCAATTCTATTCTGGAATATTCAAAATTCCATCTCATCGCTTGAGCGAACAATCTATTGCTTGAGCGCATATTTCATGCACCCAGTATTTTTGCAAACAATTGCAATTGGCTTGAGCGACTGCCTTTTATTTTGCACCTTGGCTCGAGCGAACATTGAGTTTGGATTCGGGCCATCCAGTACTTTTGCAAACCAAGTAATCTGCTCGAGCAACCAAAGTTACGTTGAGCAAAGTGCTCTATTTTAGCAAATTTTGAAAAGACATTGATCACATATGCATCGTCATTCTCTCATGGGCATTCTTAGGTATGAATTGAACATCCTAAATAAATTAAAAAGTTAGGTAAGGGTGACTCCACATTCCTTTGGTATGATAATTGGCATCCTCTTGGGCCCCTTTGGGATAGATATGGGGACAGAATTCAGTATGATTCTGGCTTTAATAGTGAGACCAAAGTTAGTCAAATTGTTCGTGGTAACTCTTGGCATTGGCCTTTCCCTAATTCATGGGAAATTCAAGAGTGGATCTCGTCTACTCCTGAGAGTTGTAGACCTGATTCCTCTAAAAATGACCTTCTTAGTTGGACCCTCACTTCTGATGGGGAATTCACCATCAAGTCTACTTGGCACCACTGGAGAAGTAAGTTTGCCAAGGTAGCTTGGCATGATTTTGTCTGGGGTTCCCATAAAATACCTAAGGTTAGCTTTATTGTCTGGCTTGCTATTCAGGAGAGGCTTAATACTGGTGATAGAGTGTTTGCTTTTGGTGTGATCACAACCTGCTCCTTTTGCCAGGATCCCAATGAAAGTCATTCTCATCTCTTTTTTGATTGCATATTCTCTTCAAATGTTTGGCAAGCTATTCAAGGTAAATGCAATGTTAACTGGCCAGATCTTCATTGGCCTGGGATCATTACTCATGCTACAGGAGAACTGAGAAGATATGTTGGGCACAGTTTCACCAATGTGTTGATTGTGAAGAACACGTTTAATAGCATCAATTGCATAGTAAAGCCTACCAGGATGTTGAACAATGTCCTTGTGACAACCTCGTCACGCACTATGCTCTTAATTCTTTAATTGTACATGTGCTTATGTGTTAGGTGTGAATTTGAATGTTAATTATGTGATTAATGTGGCTTTTGACTTCATATCGGTTGATCGTAGAAATATATGTTATGATTCTGTTGTAATCTAAAAATTGAAGACCATAATGGCGACAGAAATCAAAAGTGGTTGGTTTATTGAGATCGGCATAATTTTTAGAGTTAATGAGGATTTTGATTAAAATTTGATTCAGATTAAATTAATTACATTAAACTAATTAGAACTAAGTGCAATTAGTTAATCATAAGCCTTGATTAACACCCTAATCTAGTCCTTAAGTATATATATGTTGTCATTAAGAGCTTGAACCCCTTAAACATAGTTTGAACTCAAAAATTTGAGATAGAGAGTTTTAGTGAGAGAGAACTCAATTTTTAGAGAGAGAAAAGAGCTTGAACTTGAAAATTTTGCTAAGAGGTTTGTATATTGTGAAGTACAAGCTCAAGAAATTACTAAATTGAGCTTAATTGAAGACCGTAGGTAAGCTTTTGAACCTTAATTCATGAAACTAAGTCATTTCATATGTGAATTCAAGAAGATTATGTGTTTAAATGTAAGAATTGACCTTAGAATGAAGAATTAGAGGTTAATTCATACATGCATGCATAGTTTTGTTGAGTTTCACCATTTTTTAGCATGATTTGGTCGTCCATGTTGAATTTGGAAGATGAATTGTACATGCATGCATGAATTACATGGTTTTGAAAGTGAATTGCATGTTTTTGAAGCATTGGAGTCGAATTTGGAATTAAAATCAACATGCATGAAAATTTAGGTTTCATTTTGAAGAAATCTTGAAGTTTTGAGCTTTGATTTTCCAAATTGGCTTTGTATTCATGTTTTTGGAAGAGTTTTAAGTGTTTGAGAAGTTGTTTACAAGCCATGCAAAAGTGTGTTTTTGAAAATGCAAGTTTTGAAGTTCAATTCTGTTCTGGAATATTCAAAATTCCATCTCATCGCTTGAGCAAACAATCTATCGCTTGAGCGCATATTTCATGCACCCAGTATTTTTGCAAACAATTGCAATTGGCTTGAGCGACTGCCTTTTATTTTGCACCTTGGCTCGAGTGAACATTGAGTTTGGATTTGGGCCATCTAGTACTTTTGCAAACCAAGTAATCTGCTCGAGCAACCAAAGTTACGCTGAGCGAAGTGCTCTGTTTTAGCAAATTTTGAAAAGACATTGATCACATATGCATCGTCATTCTCTCATGGGCATTCTTAGGTATGAATTGAACATCCTAAATAAATTAAAAAGTTAGAAAAAAGCCTAAGGGAATTGAATAAATTAGAGAACGATTTGAATAAGCAATATGACTCAATGTGTGAATATGTTTATGAATAGTGTAGGATCGTTCGCAAAGACGAGTCAACAACCGAATCACTGTGAGTAATATCTTAGCAAAGATATTTTTGTACTTACTTTATTTTTTGAATGTCCTAATGTGGTAAGCTTTTCTGAAACTGTGATTTTGCAAGTGTGAATGAGTTTCTATTTGTCTGATCAATATAATAGCTGTAAATGTGATTGATGAGACATGAACATGTATAATAGACCCAAGGTCATTCTATATACCTGAATTGGACCCAAGATCATTCTGTGCATTTGATAAGATGGACCCAAGGTTGTTCTGAACATCTGATAAGTTTGATTATCTGCTATGAGTAAACCGAATGGTCATTATACTACTGTAAATGATTAGACCTAAGGTCGTTCTATTATGATATGACCAATTCTATTCTATACATCTGTTATACGTTGGACCTAATGTCATTTTGCTATCTGTTAGACCCGAGGCGATTCCATTATGAATTGCTTATGATATAGAAATGCCTATGTCAATTATTAGAACTCATTCACATAACCCCTTTACCGTAATGTTATTCACTAGGTGTTAGCTCACTCTATATTTATATATATGTAGGTGAGCAGCGGGATGTCCAACCCTAGCCTTAGTGAACCTGTGAAGGATACCAAGTTTTGCCAAGTCTGTCATGAGCGCCTTATGAGCAAGGCTTTTGCTTCTTTTGTCTTTTGATTTTCTATTTTCTTTTGTTGGTCATGCTTGACCGCATCTGTATACAAGTGTGGTATTTGTATAACAATGATGTATGAATGATCTTGGACATATGAAGTCTTTTATGTA